TCTAATTAATGCATGGATTTTTGTGGGGATGGTGTTGTTTCCAGTAAAGAGGAAGAGTGTGATGATGGCAATTATTTACCCTACGATGGTTGTTATAAATGTCAAGTTTAATGTCCATAAGGATGCAATGTTTGTAATGGTAGAATATGTGAAGATTGTTAAAAGAAAGGGTGGCTATTGATTAATGGTGTTTGTACTTCAAAATGTGGAGATGGTTATACAGTTGGGAGCGAATAATGTGATGATGGAAACTATATTGAATTTGATGGGTGTTATTAGTGTTCCTTTTCTTGTCACCAGAAGTGCCTAAATTGTTTTTAAGGATTATGTTTATAATGTGAGTTTGGATACTTAGAAGATGGATCATAATGTCATAATATTTGTGGGGATGGAAATCTTATTTAACAAGTAGAATAATGTGACGATGGGAATTAGTAGAATAATGATGGATGCAGCAATACCTGTGAAGTGGAAAAAAATTGGAAATGTCAATAAGAAAATAATATTAGTTAATGTAAATATCTTATTCTTCCTATGATTACACTTACAAAACTCACAAAAACAAATTCAGATAATCAAGAATTCCAATTATCATTTTCAGAAAAAGTACGTTTGAATGTTAATGGCATTAGTGAAGAACAATTTCTTCAGATGATTGTTGTTGTATTGGAAAATGCAAATCATAATGAATACGATGTTGAAATTAAACCCATAATCTCTATCACTACTTAATTAACTGATGTAGCTTATAAGATATTAGTCTATTTCAAAAGTAAAATTTAAAATCCTTTACTAAAAGTAACAATCTTATGTGAAAATATTGTTAATATATAAGACAATTCTTTATATTCAAATGAAGTAAAGTTAGTATTAAAATCTCCTAACAAAATGTCAAATGATCAAAAATCCCTAATTCAGAAAACTGCCTTTCTAAGTAGAATTGTTATGTATATCATCTTGATTGTAAGTGGTATAGCTTTTTTGTTTGGTAATTTAGAAATTTTATGGAATCTCCTTGATATGCTTTAATAATTATCATATATGAAATTTCACAATCTATAATTCCCAGAAAACTTAAAAATCTATTTTGAAATTTTTAGTATTGGTTCTTTTACTCCCATAATTAATTTCTTTTAAACAGATATATATTTACAAAATTTATTTGATTACTAAATTCCAATCATACCAGCTAAATGGAAATTTGAAGAGTATGAGATTAATTGTTACTTTTTGAATAACTTTTAAACATTAATCATTCTAATTATAATTGGATTTGCTTATTTTTTAGTTTCATTTTTCTTTTATAAATTCCTAATTTTAATTAAATATTAAAATTGGCCGACTATTTTTTACAAAAGTAAATCATAAAGTCTATTTAAATTTGTCAGATTTATTTTCTCCTTTTAGAAGTTGGCAAGAAAATAATGTTCGTATTTTGTTTATTCTGGATTAATCAGAATTCTTACATCAAATTATTACGAATTAACATTTGCATCAATTTTATAAATTGCCAATTACAATATTGATACTACCTTAAATACAACTATTTTATTAATTGCACTAATTACATTACAATTCAATCTAATCCTCATAGTGTTATTTTTTTCTTATTTAAGCAAAAAAGATAAAGTAAGCAAGAAGCTATCAGTCTTAGTAGAAGGAATAAATAATCATTTTTCATAAGGATCTAAACAATATTTTACTATATTGTTGATAAAAAAAACTTTATTCTTGTTTAATTTAATTGTATTATAAAAACTTTTTGGTGCTCAGAGTCTAATTACAGCATGTTTATCAGGAGTATTTTCTTGTTATATTTATATTTATAAACCTTTTGAGAACAATTATGAAAATTTGAAAATCTTCATCACCGAAATTATGATTATGCTTAATGTTATACTCTTTTCTGTTTATGATATTATCAAATTCAATTAAAATAAAGACTCAGCTGAAGTTTTAGGTTGGATTAATGTAGGTGGTTTCACATTGATCCTTATTTTCACCTTGTTAATTGATATATACTAATAATTATAAAAATATATAAGGTAGTTTAGAAAAAATTTTATCAATTAGAAGAAAAATATGAAATCAAAGAATTTTATATTTTTTGCAATTTGATTATCAATAAATAATTTATTCAAATTTAATATAAGATTATATGTTTTTACCAATATAATTCTTTTAAATAGATATATTGTTAATAATATAATTAATTTAATTTTAAGTTTTCTCAAAGAGAATTTCCATAAGAAAGTAGTACAAATTAATGATATCTAGAATTAAGATAAATATTCAAAATATAAAAATTCTATATATGCCAAAAATCATACTCCTTTTTCTTTGTATATATTTTATAGAAGGAAAAAATTAAATTAAATTTCACATCTTTTATGAAAATATTTAAATGTAAAGTTTTTTAATTGAATAATATATCATAATAATATTGATATTATCAAATATTATGTTTTAAAAGCTTTATTTAATTAGAAATTAGATTTTTAATAAAGCCAATATTGAATCTATTTGAGAATTCAAAAAATTCTCACTTTATTAATATTGATTTTTGATAATATTATCAATTTCAAAGTAGCTTAAATTTCTAACACCTTTTTTTAATATTGAGTGATCATCTTTGTAATTTTATAATGAAATTTAGCCTTTAATAAATCAATATTGCGTACCTTTATTGTTACATGCATTGTTTTGATTTAATTTTTTGCCTTCACTATTATATTAACTGGGGAATGCTAAATTTATAAGATTAATTCTTAGAGGTTAATGAAGAATTCATCTTTATTAAAATATGTATTAATTCGAATCAATAGCAAATCTTTGTTTGATTTAAAATAAAAAATGAATCTTAATTTTCTATTCCTAAAGTCAAGCCAAAGACTTTTTTTTACAAAAATTATGATATAATAAATTAAATAATAATCTAAGATTACAACTAATTAAAAGTGAATATTAAATTAAGTATTTTGAATTAATTTAAATGAATAATTTTATGATTAACATTTTAGAAAAAATTTAATTGAAAAAGAAATCGTTTTAAGAACAAAAGAAAGGTTTAATAATTATTTATTTCTAATAAAATTGATTTTGTAGTATGGATGTATGACTAATTCTATATCTTGATCTTTAATGAAAAGGATGTTTATTTTAGATATTGAGTCCATTAAGAATCTTTATTAGCTCCTTTTTTATTTGATATCTATCTTAATGAAATAATTAAAAATTAATTAAACATACATAAATTAGACAATAAATCTGCCCTGCAAATAGTAGTATTAGATAATTTAAAACCAAATTACCTTTCTATAATGTATTTAAAATAATTATGATGATGACTTAGCAATAGTTTGTAATAGTTAAATCTTTAACTTTTCAGTTAATCAGGAAAAACTAAAGTTCTTTATAAAACAAGAGGTTTTAAATGATGCTATTTT